AATTTTTTTTCTGAAAGACCGCAATGGCGTAAAATCGATCATGTTTAGACCACAGTAAACGAAGGTCGCAAAAATCAGGATTTTGTGTGATTTTAATGCAATTTTGATAGTGTTTAGACTGAAGTGTTTTCTATCGAATTTAGAGATTTTGAGTTCAGACTAGATTTAGTGAAGAAGTTAGAATTTTTTATCTGAAAACATGCAGTGGCGTAAAACCGGCCATGGTCAGATCAAACTTCACAAAGCTCGCAAAAATCAGGATTTGGCGTGATTTTTATGCAATTTGAGAGTTTTTCGATTTAGACTCAACGGTTTTCTATCTATCGAGTTTAGAGATTTTCAGATTCTACTTGATTTGGTTAAAAAGTTAGAATTTTTTTTCTGAAAGACCGCAATGGCGTAAAATCGACCATGTTCAGACCACAGTAAACGAAGGTCGCAAAAATCAGGATTTTGTGTGATTTGAATGCAATTTCGATAGTGTTTAAACTCAAGCGTTTTCTATCGAATTGTGAGTTCTTACTGGATTTAGTTAAAATCTTCACTTCTTACCTCTGTAACATTTTAAACAACCATAATTAATAATTGAAAATTCAAATTAGTGTAGACCTCTCGAAATGCTGAGGCAAACAATATTGTTTGCACAGATGGTCATTAATCAAGGGCGAGCCAAAAGCCCGAAATATTAGAGGCATCGCTCTTAAGCTTTGTGTCAGTCTAAACAGGCCTATATTGCTTTTCTGGTCAAAGTTTAGTGATTTATATGGCGTCAGCGGCCCACACAATTAGAAACATATTAGAATCTCATGTATGGGGCTGGAGGGCTTCGCTATTTAATAAATATCTCTTTGAAGTCTGGATTAAAGGTCCCCAATTGTGAGCGTCTCACAACTGAAAGGCCATTTCACTTGAATGCAGAGTGTCTTGTTTTCAGTATTTTTGGTCCATCTAGGACTATGCAGCGTCGAACTGTTTGCAGGAAAAGTCGATTCATCAACTGGACGTCGGGAAATTTTGAAAATTCATCGGAAAATTTATGAGTTCATTTAATGTCGCCGAAAGGGTTTCACAGCGTGGCGAGCCGGCGTAATATCCGTCGAGATCGGGCTGTCCCCATAATTAACGTAATTCAGGAATGATGACTAATGACGAAGGAATATATCATTGGCGCCGTGAAACGAAAACCCTGTTTCGCCACAGTCCTTTCTATTATTTAATATATAAGACATCACCTTGCCATTTATACGCCGCAACAGCTGAAAGGGTGGCCCCGATGCCTGAATTAGTGCTGATTGCGTTCTTGTGTTTTTTGCCTAATGGCCCATTATTGGAGGATATTCGCGCAAAAAGGTTTTCGAATCCGGTTAATAGCTCAACTTTGCGCATTAAATGTCAATGATGGAAATGCGCTGAAACCTTTCAATGAAAGCCATCTATTTTGTCTGCAATGGGCTCTACCCCCTATTAAACGCACAAACATGGAACGTAGAACTACTATTTGCAAGCATACCGTCTTTCAGATTATTCCTCCCGAGACCGAGATGTCTCAAGTGGAAACGTCGAGAAGAAATTCTACCGAACGACGAGAATGTATTCCTGACGTTTCGCAAGCACGAGTGGCTTGCATCTTCAGAAGTGGTTTGCTTGAACGCTTACA